CAGTGGGCCTTGGGTCTCCTGTCCTGGGCCCTGGGGCCCACCTACCAGGTGGATGTCGGGTTCATGAGCCCCAGGGGTTGAGGATGTGGTGATGTTTGGGGCACCTGGCCTAGGTCCTTAGACTCACCTGTAAGTACATGCCCTACTTAATGAAAAAGGAGGGGCAGTGGACACAGGCCCTGTTGTAAAAGAATATGGCAGCATATTTGGTGCTGTAGCAGAAGAACAGAACTAACTGGACAACTACCCCAAACAAACAGTAACAGCAAAAAATCTAGGTGAACCAATGGACATTGGAAGAGTGACATCATCCTTGGACCAGTGAAATTCACAGCAGTTCAGAACTATCCAAACCACTTGGACAGAACCCTCAGAATACGTACCCACTGAGACTCTGGGTTGACACGAGGTGGCAGTCCCTCATCCCTGGGCGCTGGGACGTGTGGAACGTTCTGAGTGCTTTCCCCCTTTGTCTCTCCCCTTCTCCCAGGAACAACAAGAAGAAATAGGAAATATGGAAGCAATGAATTCACCCAAACTTCCCTAAGCCTCGATCCTTCCCACCCTGATCAACCATGACATTACTGGAAAGGCATCCTGTCTATATGCTTTGGGAGACGCAGCATGATTCCAACAGCAGGACTCACTACATTGATCTACTGACTCAACATAAATCCGAGCGGAGATCCAGCTGCGCTTTCTTCAGAAATTGACAACCTGATGCTAAAACCTACATGGGATCCAGAATAGACAAAAACAGCCCTGGAAATGAGCAAGGTTGAAGGACTCATGCGTGTTCAGACCTCACCTCACAGCTGCAATAATCAAGCTAATGTGTTGGGAAGTAGGTTAACCAGCTAGCTATGATGCTGGCATCGGTGAATGCTGGTTCGAGTCCTGGCTGCTCCATTTCTGGTCCAGCTCCCTGCTAGTGTAGCAAGGGATGCAGTGAAGGATAACCCAAGTGCTTGGGCCTGGGCACCCAGATGCCTTTCTGGTTTCTGGCTTTGGCCTAGGAGTGAGTTGGCATATGGGTAATCTCTCTCTGCAACTCTTCCTTTCAAATAAACAAAATATATATATTTTTTTAAAAAAAGGCCCCAGTGCTGCAAGGACTTTTGCTCTTTTGTTGTTTCGCCTCCAGGCCTTCCATCAGCATCTTGTCTGGCATTCCTAATGTTCACTCACCTTTTCAGTATCTGCTGGATCTGCAGTAATGCCACTCCTGTCCATCCTGAAACGGGCCATCTGCATTCTGCCTCTTTCGTCTGTTCATAGCTAAATGTTTATCAATTTAATTTATTGTTTAAGCGGCTAGGTTTTCAGTCTCACCGGATTTCTGTCCTGCTTTTTTTGATCACCTTTTCTCTTCACTTGCTGTTTGTGTTCTCTGTCAAGCTACAGAACCGAAGTCATTCAGATCCGTCATCTAACAGAGCTTAAGACTACACATTTCTCTATCCCACTGGTCACATCTCTCAAATGTTTTTTTTAAAGATTTATTTATTTTTATTGCAAAGTCAGATATACAGAGAGGAAGAGAGACAGAGAGGAAGATCTTCTGTCTGATGATTCACTCCCCAAGTGAGCACAATGGCCAGTGCTGAGCCAATCTGAAGCCAGGAGCCAGAAACTTTCTCCAGGTCTCCCACGTGGGCGCAGGGTCCCAAGGCTTTGGGCCGTCCTTGACTGCTTTCCCAGGCCACAAGCAGGGAGCTGCATGGGAAGTGTGGCCGCCAGGATTAGAACCAGTGTCCATTTGGGATCCCAGTGCGTTCAAGGTGAGGACTTCAGCTACTAGGCCACTGCACCAGGCCCACATCTTTCAAATGTTGACATGTGGGTTTTGTTTTGTGTGATCGTGTCACATGTGGCCACATGGGAGAGGCTCAGTGAAACACATGTGTGATTCTCAGGATTTTAGAAACAGAGGGCATTGCCCACCAGGCAGAGAGAGGGGCCCACAAGAGGCCACTTCTGGGAGGTCAGGAGACAGAAGCAGGAACAAGCGAGATAGTCCAGGAGAGCATGCAGTTTCCTGGGAAACAGTAAGGCAGGCCAGGGCAAACATGTCAGGATTGGCTGCTTTGAAAAGTGTCACCAGGCTGCCAGCTGTAGATGGCCCCAGTTGGCTGACACCTGGCCCTGGCATGGAATTTTTTTTTCTGTACAAACATATATCTTAAATATTTATTAATTTGAAAAGCAGAGTTTACGGAGAGAGAGAGATCTTCCATCCATTAATGGGCACGATGGCCAGGGATGGGCCAGGCTAAAGCCAGGAGCCAGGAGCTTCTTCCAGGTCTCCCACATGGGCGCAGGTGCCCAAGCACTTGCTCCATCTTCCACTGCTTTCCCAAGCACATTTGCAGGGAGCTGGATCTAAAGTGGAGGAACCAGGACTTGAACCAGTGCCCTTACAGGATGCTGGTATTTTCACAGGCAACGGTTTAACACACTGTGTCACGACAAAGGTGCCTCTGGCATGATTAAGGCAGGGGAATTCTACTTCCTGGGGTGCTTTGGGTAACATACACACTGCTGTGTGGACCAAAAGTAGGGTCCTTGACTAGATTCAGGAGGGGAAGTCTGGTGTCAAACAAGAGTTTAAGGAGCCAAAACTTAAAAGATAGAGATAATTTTTAAAAAAATTGACAATTTAGTTCAATCAACCCAAAATATTTCCTTATTTCTCTTTTCCCTTTGCTAACTTCTGTACTAGTGCTCCCCAGAAACAGAACCAAGAGGGCAGATATCCAGATGTACAATGGGGTTGGTCAGCTGGCATCTGCTGCTTTCCAGGCACATGAGCAGGAAGCTGGATTGTAAGCAAGTAGCCAGAATTCAAACTGGCACTTGGAAGCAGGGATGTGGGTGTCCCAGGTAGCAGGCTAACCTGCTATGCCATGAGACCAGCCCAGGAAAAGGGTCTCAGCCAGTGCTGGGCTCATAAGCATTTGCTTTCAGGGAGAAGCAATGGAGCCACAGGGTTGGAAACACAGAACGGGTCTGCGCAGACCTATCGGGCTTGTGGGGTGACAGGATGATGGCAAGTCTTGCACAGGGAGGGAGGAATTTGCAGTAAGGGGGATGGGTTCCTTAAATGCCCTCGTTTTGTAGGATGGCAGACAAGGGGCTGGAAGTGTGTGGCACTGAACACTGGGGTGGCTGCCCTCCAGGCGGAACAGCCAGGGGCCACGTGGAGCTCAGGGAAGGGGGCTCCTGCAGGTCTTGGTGCAGCCTTGGGCATGGCTCTCAAGGCCACCTCCTGGGTGTGCTGTGCCATCAGTTGCCACCCAGACTGTGGCGGCTTGTCCCCAGCAGCCAGCTCAGAGGAGGACATGGCCAGGGTGGCTCTTGCTGCCTCCTGCAGAGAAGCTCTGGCCTTCCCGGGCAGGGTATACGGCTGCCTCATGGGCCAGGAATCAGTGTGGCAACAGAGGACACTGCGGCCTCGTGGTGGCCAGGGCCATCTGGAGCCCACGGAGTGACAATATGCCATTGCAACAAGCCGCTCCTCAGAGTACACATTCCCCCAGGTCTGGGCCTCAGGCATACTCCAATTTAAAGGAGCAATCTCCCTTCGTCCATTTTGTCCTCAACAGAAAAAAACCCCAAACCAAATCTGAAAGTCAAGAGTAACAGAAAGAAGGCCTGGCGCCGTGGCCTAGCAGCTGAAGTCCTTGCCTTGAATGCCCGGGATCCCACATGGGCACTGGTTCTAATCCCAGCAGCTCAACTTCCCATCCAGCTTCCTGCTTGTGGCCTGGGAAAGCAGTCGAGAATGGCCCAAAGCCTTGGGACCCTGCATCTGCGTGGGAGACCTGGCTCCTGGCTTTGGATCAGTGCAGAACCAGCTGTTGAGCTCACTTGGCGAGTGAATCATCGGACAGAAGATCTTCCTCTCTGTCTCTCCTCCTCTGTGTGTATATCTGACTTTGCAATAAAATAAATAAAGTTTTAAAAAAAAAAGAGTAAAAGAGAGAATGAGATCTTCCACCTTCTGGTTCACTTCTCAAATGGCTGTAACTGCCAACAATGACCTGGCCAGGTCTCCTATGTGGGTGCAGGGACCCACTTTGGTCATCTTCCACTGCTTTCCCAGACACATTACCAGGGAGCTAGACACATTACCAGTGGAGCAGCTGGGATTCGAACTCATACTCAAGTGCAATGCTGAAATCACAAGTGGTGGCTGAACTCACTGTGCCACAACACTGGCCCCAGTCCCAAAGCATCTTGAAGTGTAAAGGAGGGATGGGCACTGAGTCTAGTGGTGAGGACCCCGCAGTCTGTATCGGGTGCCTGGGCTGTTCTCAGCTCTGGCACCCGACACCGACAGCCTGCCAGTGCAGACCTGGGGGGCAGCAGTGATGGCTCAAGTGACGGGGTTCTCGTCACCCACACAGGAGACCTGCCTGTTGTCCCAGGCCATGCAGTCTGACAGCCCAGGTTGTGTCCAGCTCCGGCTCCCTGCTGATGCCTCCTCTGGGGACAGAGTGACAACAAAAAAAACCCTGGGTTCCTGCCACCTATAGGAGACACACATCAGCCCACTTCGAGGCCACGGTGTACCTGTGGGAACTCTTAGCAAGAAAGGGAGAGAAAGGAAAAAGGAGGGGTGCAACAGAGTGACCAGCCAGGAACTCTGCTGGTGGACACAGGGTCAGCCACCTGTCAGTGTCTACACTGTGTTGGGAGCAGGATTGGGGGAGGACCCTCCGGGACCCGGAGCAAAGCAACTTCTCAAGGGAGGATGCTCTTGGGGCTGCTGGATACCACGCAGGGCATGGTGTCTTCCACAGAGCAGAGGCTAGACGCCTGGCCTGAACTGGGCAGCACTGAGTGGGCACAGGGCACCGCCTGGGCTGGGCTGAATCACTGGGCGGCCCTTCAGGATCTCAGCTGTCCCAGCTAAGCTCTTCCACCTTGGGGCATGTCCGCCCAGAAGCTCCGGGTGAGTGTTACCAGGACACGAGCCAGGCCAGAGACAAGCATGGAAAAACACTGTTTATGCTTCCGCAGGACACGGAGATAAATATCATCCCTCACATACCAAATATCTGTACATACACCAGAGTTCCTGCCACTGCGTTAACCCCAAAGGCTCGGGCCACGCTGATCACTTCCGGAAACGCTTGAAGAGTGGGTGCACATGCTTGGTGGTGGCCTTGCTGCGCGAGGATTGGTACTCCATGTAGATGGTGTCATCCGCCCCGGACATGGAGCTCATGCTGCCGACACGGCGAGACGCCTGTGGGAAGGGCGGTGATCAGCAGTGTCTGGGAAACCCTTGGGGACTCAACAGGTTCCGTGACTCACAGCCACGCTGCCTGTCCAAGAGCGCCAAGCACCAGTACGACCTCCTCCAGCATCATCTGCCAGAGGGGCTGTGGCTCATGGCCAAGAGGAGGTTGCCCCAGACCCCTGCTCTGTGGGACATAGGACAAAGATAGCCTTGGTGTGACCGTATGCCACCCTGCCTCTCTCAGCAATTTCCAGAAAGTCCTAAGCAGCACCCAGCACCTGCACCTCAGGCAGCTCAGCCGACCCAGGGAGATTTTGTCCCTCCATGGTCATTGTAGAGCACCTCAGTAAAGTCCTGGGGAGCACTCAGGCCCTCCCCAGGAGATCAAGGTGGATTGTTAGATGCTCCTCAAGGTCACACCGCTGAGCCCAGGGCATGGCCAGGGTCCCTTACACAGGGACAGCTGAAATGAAGCCTTTCTCAGCCACCAAGCAGGGGCCTACCCATCATCCCAGGACCTGTCAGAGCATGAAGCCGCCCTGGGTGTCACTGCAGACCAGGCCTCCAAGCTGAAGGGACAACAGCCCCTCGCTGGGTGTCCACATCTTACTTCCTGCCCCACCAGGCTCCCCAGCCTCCATTTGTGTGCACATGTGAGTGGGAAAAGCCTGCCCCAGGAGCTGGCCATTGGGGCCTCCTCCTTACTCACCTGGCTGGACTTGGTTCCGAACTCTCCCGCCACTACCTCCTCCTCGGCGTCCAGGTCACTGGCAGCCAGGACCTTCTGTAAGAGCTGCTGCTGCTCCTCCTTGGTGGAAAATGCCAACTCCTCCTCTTCCATGCCTGCCAGCTTCGTGATCACCTGTGAAGCCCAAGCCAACAGGTGTTCCTTTCCTGTGTCCCTCGGCCCCTGCAGGTGTGCAGGCAGGTGGCCGACAGTGCTAGGGCAGCTGTGCAAGGCACCCTGCTCCAGTATGTAGCCCCTGATGGTTACACACAGCCAAGCAGAAGGAGTCCTGGGGTTCTCAAGGCCCCCACCTTGCATCAGGCGAAGGCAGCAGGGACTGGAGGGCACCCAGGACTGGCAGCATCTGCATGTCAGAATGCTTTGACCAGGTATTCTCCAAAAGGGCATGGGGGCAGAATGCTGGGGACTGGGCTTTCACTGCGGCAGAATAACTCAATGTCAGACCCGCCTTCCTGCAGAGAGTTGGGTTGATGACACTCGCACCCTGCCCCTGCCATTCAGCTGCCTCCCTCTGAATGTTAGGGAAGGGACAACACCCAGAGGAAGGTCTGATGGAGACCAGCCCAGCTTTACACGGTGCATATCCTTCAAGACAAGCTCAGAACCCAGGTGTCCTGGCCTCCACCCGCATGAGAGGCTTCAACCGTGCCTCTGTGTAGGGCTAGCCACAGAGATACAAAGGCAGCACCAGGCAAGGCAGCAGCCTACAGAGGGTCACAAACTCCGGGGCCTGGGAGCCCATGTGTCCCATGAGCTTTCTAGGGAACCAGGCCAGTGCTGATGGTCCCCGCTCCTGGGCACCAAAAAAGACCTGTTCCTAGCTTGACCAACCTTGAAGCTATATCCTTGGTCCACCAGGAACCTCTGCCGCTTGGTCGAATATGCCATTTCCTGTGTGTCCTGAGACACCAGCGAGTAGAAGAAAGCATTGTATTCCTCTGCGACCATACCTGTGCGGGAGGGGAGAGGAATCAGGGCAACAGCGGCAGCCAAAAAGGCTGAGAGCCCCAAGGTTCAGGGCCCAGCACTGCCATGGGGGGCAGTCACGAGTGCCAGGTGCCCTGAGATGCAGGGGTCGGTGCTGCCACGGGCTGTTCTATGGGCAATGGCTCATCATCACCCTGCATTCTTCTAAGGACATAGTAAAGGCAGAAAAGAGACAATCTCAGAATGAGGATGTATTTGCCAAGTTGCCATCCAAGGCAGAGCCTGAGTCTAGACCATGACTCAGCAACGAAACAGGAAGAGCGCATGAGCAGACATTTCTCCAGATGACAGTCAGCGGAGGGCGCTCATCACCATGTCAGCAGGCAGACACAGACCCACACGGGCTGCCATCTACTCGGCCCCCAAGGAAGTGGACCAACACGCACCGGGAGCCCTCAAGTGCTTCGCAAGCCCAGTCCAGGCATACTCACTCAAGCAAAACCATGAGAACTACAAACAAATCCATACAGGGATTTGCATTACTCTAAGAGCAAGAAGTACAAACAAACTAGCTCTTTACCAACAAATGAAGGGGTAAAATGTGGTAGGTCCATGCAGTGGTCTGTTACAGGTGTTGAACCTGCCAGCTCTGATGCTGTGTCCCCCGGCAGGGTGCCCGGCTCCATGCCCGAGGCTGACCTCTGTCTTGCGCGCCCTGAGGGGTGTGGCACCTATCCTTCCTGCCATCTGCATTTCCGGGTTCAGCCCTAGCCCAGCTCCAGCCTTCACAGGCATTGGGGAGTGAACCAGCAGACGGGCGCTCTCTCTCTTTGTCCTTCCCTCAAATAAATAAGAGATACTGACACAAAATGGAGAGTCCTTTTGAAGACATGATGCTGGACAGAGCAGCCAGTCACAGAGGGCCTCCCCTCAGGACAGGTCCAGAGCAGGCAGGTAGCCAGGAAAGCAGGGGGTGGGCCTCTTGGCCTGCGGGTGGGAGCAAGGGAAGCTGGACACGACTGCTGATGGGCAGGATTCCTCTCTGGGGCTGATGGGAAAATCCTGATGCTTGGGATAATGGTTCCACTTTGTCAATATTCTAAAAGCCACCGAGCTGCACACTGGAAGCAAAGCAGGTGTATAGTGTATACTATCTGAATTTTATCTCAACAAAACTGCTGGGGGAAAAAAACCTCCATAACAGGGAGAGCTATCACAGAAACCAGGGCGGAACATACGAATGAGTCCTTCAGGAAAACCTGAAGCCTTTGTGTTGTCCCGGTTCAGACGTCAGCAGACAAGACAGGTGCCACTGTGGTTAGATTCAACTGCTTCCCAGAGCTAACAGCAGCAAAGGAAGGGACCAGGCAACTGATCTCAAAGACATCTGAGTGAGAAAATGTAATTTTCACCACAGTCAAGAGTTTCCCAGATTTGCTTCTTTCTTGTGAAGGCTAAGGAATAAGCAGTGAATCACTCTGCAAGTGCTAACAGCAGCAGCGTGCTGTGGTCCACACAGCTCACCCTCCAACAGTCCTCTGAGGCTGATAACATGGTCACCCCCACTTCAATGTGAAAATCGAGGTTTGGAGGAACAAACAACTTGTCTAGGCCGCGCAGTTGATTGAAACCCAAGCCCTGCTCCGCTTCACAGACAGCCTTGCCACTGCTTCCTGGACACGCCTCAGTAAGGTGGGGTCCACTAGCCTCGCCATGTCCAACCACCCGCAATCCAGATGTCCTGGATAAGCCTGCATCCCTGTCCTATCACTCCCTGGCATCGACATTAGTCCTGGTCCTTGGAGTACCCCACAATGGCACTTGAGGCCCTGTTACCATAGTTACTGATGGCAGGAAGCCTGACTCTCCTCAGCCCAAGCCTTGGGAGCCCTGCTTCCCGCCTGCCAGCTCCACCAGGGGCACCACAGAGGAGAGGTGCTCTGTTACCTGTCTTATTGCCCAGGCTACTCCTGTCAACCTTTCCTTCCTCCTGACCCCACCTCTACGGGTGCTCCTAGCCACCCTGCTTCCACAGGTAGCCCTCCCATGTCTACACTATCAAGCTCCGCCCCTTCCTCCCAGCATCACCATTCAGCTGAGAGCACAGTCAAGGGAGACACTCACGTGTGAACTCCCCACGCGTGAGACACACAGAGGGCTGGGTGCTCCTATCTTCTCTTCTATGTCTCCTCAGCCAGGCCCACCCAGGCTCAGCCCTCTTCCTCACCCAGAGGATCGGTTGGCTCGGCTGGCCCACCCGCAGCTAGCTGCCTTTACCTTTTTTAGCTCGGAGCACCCTCCCAAGCCTCTGGGCCTCCTGCCGCCTGGAGCCCCCGTGGGAGGAAATCTGGATGAGGACGTTGGCTTCCGGCAGGTCAAATGATGTGTCACCCACCTAGAGAGAGCACGAAGCAGTGAGTGTGGGCAGGCGTTCACACAGGACACAGCTGGCCCAGGCCTGAAGGAGACCTGGCCTGCAGGTACAGTTACAGCACCACTCCTGTCATGGCCCGGGGCCTTTTGCTGCAGGCCAAGGGTAGGCACGGGGCCTCGGGAGGAGCCACCAGGAAGCAGCTCTGGTACCACTGACCCAGTACTTCTTGTCTCAGCGAAGCCTCCCATGCTGGTGGATAGGGCTACACATGGAAACAGGTGCGCACAGAGTACTCCACGGTCAGACCCGAGAGCAGAGAGCAGCAGTGGCCCCTGTGGGACAAGTGGACCCTGGCAGTGGCCAGCGCCCAGCAACCCTGCCAGGGGAGGGAGTGTCCGGCTCTAGCTGCCTGGCTGTCTCAGCTCAGGGCTATCTCAATCTGGAGACTGCTCTCAAGCTCCAGGCCCAGCACTACTGCAGGTAGGGCAGTGCCACCCTAAGCCAGGTCTACAGCAGTGTGTGCTGATGCTGCCACCCACTCCCGGACACCTCAGGGGCTGGGGTGGACACGGCCAATGCCACACAGACAATCTCAGTCCAGTGTCTAACTTCTGATCTTTTAAGAAAGAAAATACAACTTAAAATTCCTCAATCTCTAAAATAAGTGGGGAAAACCCAAGCCAGGCAAAGAACTTTAGCAGACACACAAATCCTAAATCATCTGCTTCTACTACTCAGCGGCAGATCCTCGCCCCACCCCACTCCTCCACCCCGGATGACAGGCAGGTGGGAATGCCAACACAGCCCCCAGGCTTCCCCCAACCTGTGTGCCACACAGACCTTGGATATGAAGATGGTGTTGATTTTGGGATTGTGCTTGAAGTTCTGCAGAATCTGCATCCTTTCCCCCTGGGAGGTGGGTCCGTAAATATAGGGCCTGAGAGAGAGTGAGACTAAGGTTAGGACAGTCACAGCCCCGCGGCAGAGCGGAGCAGTGCTCGGCAAGGCTCCCTCAAGATGCCCTCGGCCACCCCGCACACCAGACGCCACAAAGTCACAGGCCATGGACCATGGCTGCAGCTCCTCCCCTTGCCAGGATTCCTTCCTGTACGTCTTCCTTTCAACTGCACTGTTCCCTGCGACGCGCCTGTATCCGTACAAGAACTGCCAGACTTCAGGAAGACCAACGGGAGCAGTGGAGAACACACTGCCCCCTTCCATGTCCAAGCTGAAGGATGACAAGCAGTGGTCTCCAGGGAGTAGTGGGCAGAAAGTGGACAGGAACCCTCAGCCTATCACCTATCTGCAAGGCTTCTGCCAACACAGCACAGGCTCCCTGTTTGGGACACAACAATCACACCATGGCCCTTGGGAAGACCATAGCCCTTTCTCCTGTCCTGGCACATGCTAGGCTTGGTGTCCCCGGCTAGCCAGTGTAACGGCAATGATGCACACAGGACAGGTACCAGGCTTGGCATGATGCTAAGTAAGTAAATTCCTTCCATACCCATCAGTATGCCTCAGGAGTGTAAGAGGGGGCTGGCGTTGGGGCTGAGTGCACTCAGCTGCTGCCTCTGTTCCAGAATCTGCATCAGAGCAGTGGTCCCTGTCCTGGCTGTTCATGGAGCTGGGGAAGCAGGGGAGCACAGCCCAAGGACTTGGGAGACTTGCAGGAATTCCTGGCTCCCTGTCAGCTTCGGCCTGACGGATCTCGGCTTACTCTGGCTGCTGAGCTCATCTGGGAGAATGAAACAGCAGATACAAGATCTTTCTCTCTACTCCACCCCCTTCACCGTACCTTTCAAATAAATAGACAAACCGTAAAAAAAAAAAGAAAAGAAACAAAAACTGTAAAATAGCGGGCTTCATGTTCCCCAGTTTGCTCCTAGGGAACTAAGGTCCAGATCTCCAGGGCAGAGTCTGTGTGGCACCAGCCCACACCTAGAGTTCCGGGGCAGAGAGCACATATTCCCCCGCTCACCACCGCCTCGCGCTCCATCCAGGGCGTACAACTCGAGGGCACAGAGCCTGCATGGCCACTGAGGCCTTAGGCAGTGTCAGTGAGGGGCCCGGGACCACTGCTTTTCTTGCTCCTCAAAGTTACCCAGGCTGACTGGCTCTGGGCAGCCCAGCTGTGGGCAGCCCTTTTTGGTACTGGGCATCCAGGACACCACACAACTCACCATTTTCTATAAGCGGCACGCTGTCACTCAGTGTAACAGCCTCTCTTTTGATCCTAGGTTTCTAGATGGTTCTTTCTTTCTCCATTATTAGAAAAGGGCCCCAGACAGCACACATTACCAGAATAACCATCCTCTAGGAACCGAACACTCAGCAGTCCTCTATGACGGGTAGGCACAAGATGCCACACCAGGTAGTGGCAGCTCTGTCAGAGGTCAATGACACCCCAGGGCCATAGAGCCCTCAAGGTGAGGGAGAGAGATCCCTGCCCAGTTCCCCCACACTGCCAGGGACCTTGACAGCCTCTCCTGCCTCAGTGAGGCCGGCAAGAGCCAGCTGCTGAGACTGGCCCCCTATGCACATCAGAGCACTTGTCACAGGCTAAGAAAGCAGCAGGTTCACGACACACAGAACCACCTGAAGGTAAGAAGCAAGATAAACAAGGGCTCTGTTACACCTGAATGGCCTCCACAGGAGTCAGGCATGGAGGCCAGTGCTATGGCACAGCAGGGGGAGCCATGTGCTCACATGCCACATGGGAGTGCCAGGCCCTGCCTGGTGGTCCCTGCCACGTACCCTGGAGACCCAGATGGAGTTCCTGATTCCTGCCTTCAGCCTGGCCCAGCACTGGCTGCTAGGGCCATACAGGAAGTACCAACAGATGGAAGATCTCTCTCTGCGTCTCTCCCTCTGTCACTCCACCTTTCAAATAAACATTGAGTAAATATTTTTTTTTTTTTTTTGAAGCAAGCTAGAGGTATAGAAAAAGGTGTTAAGTAAAATGCTGTAATTCTCATGTTGGCCCATGAGAGCACCACGGTCTGGGGCCCTTCATGTTGCCAGGCTGATTCAGAGTCCACACCGCCGGGGACATCAGCATCTCCACAGCCAAGGACCTGGCCTCTGCTATTTCAAATGTGGATAGGGATGATGGCCTGAAGAGGCTCCAAGAAGGTTCTGGAAGGAGTCTAAAGCAGAAGAGGGGGTGAAGAAGAAAACAGTGGTCAGCTGGGACACCACCCTGCCAGAACCGGCACTAATGTGATCACACAAGACTAAAGAGGACCCAGATCCACACAGACAAAAGGAGAAATCCCAGGTGAGTGGTGGGAAGCATTCCGGAAGCTGTAACATGGACACACACATGCAGGCACATAACTGAGCTAAGAGACTGGAGGGAGCCTAAGTTAGAGTGGGTGGGAGGGGAACCTATGACAAAACAAGGCAACTTGCCATGCAGAACGCAGCCAGGTGGAGACTGTGCCCAGTGGCCTCGGAGTGCACAAGGGGCAGGGTCCTGGCTCCAGCAGCAGGAATGCCTCCCAGCCCCTGGCGGGACACTACAGCCTCACTCTCTGGCTGCTGAGCAACGAGGGCAGTGGGCAGAGCTGGGCACAAAGGTGAGACTGAAAGTGAAGCATACCCTCCCTGCTCAAATTCCCCAGCCCTCTCTCCCCTCAGCACATACTGACATCCAGAAGACAAGAGAAACCAGCCAGCCTAGAGTTAGCAGCAGCCACTACGCTCTTGCTCCAACAGCCTGGCCGGCCTGGTCATTCTGTGACAAGGTCCGGAGAAAACGTGGAAACAAGAACTTGAAGGGACTGGTGTGGTGGTGGTGGTGTAGCACGCTGAGCCTGCAACGCTGTCTGTTACGCTGGCATCCCACATCAGAACATTGCTGGGAGTCTTGGCTGCTCTGCTTCTGATCGAGATCCTGGCTAATGCCCCCAACAAAGCAACAGCAATGACCCAAGTGAGGGGCCATATCACCCATGAGAGAGACCTGGATGGACCTCCTGGCTCCTGGTCCAGCCCTGCCCATTGTGGATACCTGGGGAGTGACACGGTAGATGAAAAATCTCTCGACATATCACTCTTTCAAATAAACGAAATAAAGCTCAAACAAACAAGCAAAAGAAAACTTGAAAGAGTCAGCGTAGGGCACCATGGGGAGCTTCGAACTCATTCAGAGCCTCTGAGAAGACCCTGCTGACACTGCAAGAAACAACTCAAGGAAAGCAAGTTTCAAGAGAAGGCTGAGAAGCTAGCCAGGTAAGTGCCAGTGTTGCTATGCAGTGCCAGTGTTGCTATGCAGTGCACGAGGCCCACATCCTGCACAAGCACTGATCCAAGACCCAGCTGATCCGTCTCCCATCCAGCTTCCTGCTAATGTGCCTGGGAAGGCAGCGGAACGGGACCCAAGTGCTTGGGCCCCTGCACCCACAGGGGAGGGCACTGCAGCCAACTGCAGTGGATGAAAGATCCGCTTCTTTCCCTGCAACTCTGTCTTTCAAATAATTAAGCCTTTTTTTTAAAGTCACACATCTTTTTTTTTAAAGATTTATTATTATTATTTAAAAAATTTTTTTATTGGAAGGGCAAATGTACTGAGAGAAGGAGAGAAAGAAAGAAAATCCTCCATCTGCTGATTCACTCCCCAAGAGGCCGCAACAGCCGGAGCTGCACCGAACCAAAGCCAGCAGTCAGGAGCTTCTTCCAGGTCTTCCACGCGGGTGCAAGGTCCCAGGGCTTTGTTTGGGCTGCCCTCCACTGCCTTCCTAGGCCACAAGCAGAGAGTGGATGGGAAGCAGGGACTACTGGATTAGAACCTGTGCCCACATGGGATCCTGGCATGTGCAAGGTGAGGACTCCAGCCACCAGACTACTGCACGGGGCCCTCAAATAAATAAATCTTCAAAAAAAAGAAAGGTGGACCCGGCGCGGTGGCGCAGTGGTTAAGGTCCTCGCCTTGCACGCCCGGGATCCCATATGGGCGCCGGTTCTAATCCCAGCAGCCCCGCTTCCCTTCCAGCTCCCTGCCTGTGGCCTGGGAAAGCAGTCGAGGACGGCCCAAAGCTTTGGGACCCTGCACCCGCGTGGGAGACCCGGAAGAGGCTCCTGGCTTCGGATCGGCATAGCATCGACCGTTGTGCTCACTTGGGGAGTGAATCATCGGACGGAAGATCTTCCTCTCTGTCTCTCCTCTCTTTATATCCGCCTTTCCAATAAAAATAAAATAAATCTTTAAAAAAAAAAAAGGAGAAAAATGTATAAAAAAACAGAACATGTTGCTCAGAAGAGATTCTAGAGAGAGAGAATAGAGAAAAGATACACAAGATGATAAACGAAGGAAAAACAGCAATTCTCAGGAGAGAGACACGCGTTTCCAGAAAGAAGGGGCCTGAGCGGGGCGGCATCTGGTTACTGGATGCCTGCAGCCCAGGTTCACCTGCCAGGCCTGAGGGCTTCGCTTCCAAGTCAGCATCCTTGCTAATGTGCACCCTCAGAGGCAAGAGTGACGGTTCGAGGACGTGGCTTCCTGCCACCCATGAGGGAGATCTGCGTGGGTTTCCTGGCTCCTGGCTTCAGCCTGGCCCAGCCCTGGGTGTTGTAGGCACTTGAGGAGTGAAGATGCAAGTTTTGTCTCCTTCTTTTACTACCAATCTGCCTTTCAAATAAAAACATTTTTAGAAAGGAGAGAAAGAAGGGCCTGAATCTTAGCACAATCAAAGAAAAACAGGCCATCCTAGACTTACTCCAAATTAAAAAAAAAAAAAAAAAGAGGAGATCCTAGGGACTTCTGTAAGGAAAGCACACAAGCATCACAGCGGAGAGCATCAGACTCGAGCCCAGCTGCTGCTCAAGTACACAGCCGAGCAACAAACTTTCCCTCCATCCCTTCTCTCAGGGATCTCCTGGGGCACGTGCGCCATCAAACGAGTGAGCCACAGTCAGGAAATGGGGGCTGCCACACAAGAGGCCCACACAACTCACAGGGTGACATCCATGGGAAGCCCAGATGACAGCCACTTGGAGCAGAGCAGGCTGATGTGGCCGGGTGGGGATCCCCTTGGACAAACAGAACATTAGAACTGAGAGGTTCATGGATCCTGCCTGGAGGGCTCATCATTGTATATGCAAACCCAGCAAAAGGAGTTGGTGACAGGCATTTGGCCTTATTGCTAAGGTGCTGCTCCGTTCTCAGAGTGCCTGAGCTCAAGGCCCAGCTCCGCTTCCATTTCCAGTGTCCTGCTACTGTGCACCCTGGGAGGCAGCGGCTGATGAGCTGCCTGAGTTCCTGTAACTCACATCAAGGGGGACCTGGGCTATGCTGGCTGTTATCTGGGGCACTTGGATAGTGAACTAGTAGACGGGCGCTCTCTGTTCAATACGGGACACAACAATCCCAAATAGGATCTAACCTACCAGGCCCACTCCAGAAAGTCAACCTTTTTCCTTCATATAAAATGGGAGTAAAGTCTCACATGGCTGAGATGAGAATTAAACAAAATATACATAAGTATTTCTAGCACCTAGCATCTGCCTTGCTACAGAGAAGCTGGTCAATCTCTACTCGCCATCCTCACAAAAAGGATTACGACCTGCGTTCACCAAGCACCCTACCCTGTGGGACACAGCACGTGAGGTCTAGGGAAGCCCAGGCTGCTTCCTCTCCCCCTGGCAGGGATGGGGACACATCTGCAAGGGGCTGTGGGACTCCTGAGTTCTCTCCAGGTGTGTGCCCACACCTTCCGTGCTGGCACTGACAGAGCGGCTCTTCACCACCCACCTGGAACTCCCGATGCTGACCCCCGTGCAGCACTTCCACGAGGAACTGCTCCTGCCCAGCTCTCTGGGCCAAAGGAGACTCGCCCCTCCTGTCTCTGCTCCCTCTCCCATCACCTTCTTGTCTGGCCTGGGTTCTGACAGCGGCGGTACAGCCTGAGGTCCCAGGAGGCCGCAGCCAGGCTCCCTGTGCCCCCTCGACGAGGAAAACCAAGTTTTCAGTACTCACTTGTTCAGCCGGATGGCGTACTCCTTGAGGGCAAACACATTGTCCGCAAACACAATAATCTTGTCATTCCTCCTTTCGTGAAACTTGATCAGAAATTGGCAAGCCCGGAACTTGTTGGGGTTCATGGTGTACAGCAAGATCCGCTTCTTGGTCTTAATCGCAACATACTCGCGGTAAAATTCAGGAGACATCGGGCACCAAACCTGCAAGGGAGACAGAACCAGGGATCAATGGGCAGGCTGAAGTATCTCGACCGGGAGCTCTTCACACTCCAAACACAAAATCAATGCTATGAAGACCATGCTTTTAACACAACCATGAGAACACACACACACACAACAAAGTGAATCCAAACCTAGAAGCCAATACTGAACCAGAATACTCCTGCAAGCCCATCATTTAACAGTTTTTCTTTCTTTTTTTTTTTTTAAGATTTATTTATTTTTATTGAAAAGGTAGATTTACAGAGAAGGTGAAACAGAGAGAAAGATCTTCCATCTGCTGGTTCACTCCCCAAGTGGTTGCAATGGCCAGAGCTGAGTGGATCCAAAGCCAGGAACCTGCAGCTTCTTCGGGATCTCCAACGTGGGTGCAGGGGCTCTAGGCATTGGGCCATCCTCAACTGCTTTCTCAGGCCACAAGCAGGGAGCTGGATGGGAAGTGGAGCAGCCAGGACATGAACTGGCGCCCATATGGGATGCCGGTACATGCAAGGTGAAGACTTTAGCCACTATGATATCGCACTGGGCCCCATTTAAGGGTTTTAGACAGTCATGCCTGTGGAATCACTTTCACACCAACTGCGAGCCAGGGCAGCCACATTCACAATCAGGGGCACCAGCAATCCCCTACTCAGCCCCCATACCAGCACACACTTCACAGGAACAGGTTCCCATGAAGCGCTGTGGGGCCTTCTCTTCCTGTGTTTGGGATCCCAGCCCTCACCCACACAAACCTTCATCTAGCCAGCCTTTTAGCTGGCACAAACAATGGTTTCAAAGTCAGAGGCAGGTAGGGTAAGGTAATGGAGGACAACACAGCATGGTCTGAACTGAACCGAACTATCCACTAATGACAGCCACGGGACAAGGGTGCAGGGACAGCCAAGAGGGAACATGACACAAACAGATGGAGCAGACCACACACGTTTCTCTCCTAAAGCCCACAGGAGGAGAAAACAGGGAGACCGAAAAACTAAACAGCTGAAGCATACGAGGGTACTTGAAAAAGTTCATGGGAAATGAAATGAAAAGTTAACTTCGGTGCAATTTTTTTTCACAAACAATACTCCATGAACTTTCTGAAGATTCTTCGTGGTATTTGGACTCTACACCCTCAGGCCACAGACAGAACGAATTATAACCAGATGCTCAGCTGCAGCTTTGCTTTTATTAGTGGTATTGGTTAGCAAGTCTAAAATTCTTGTGTGTACACCCTAGGGCTGAACGAATACGTATGGCCAAGTTTCTCACAATGTCTGAGAAAGGATCTGCAAACATGGAAAGAGGGAACATCAGGCTCCAATCTGTGGAGTTCGGGGTTTCCAACATGCGTACACACTCGCCTTTCTGTCCGCTCAGCCAGCCTAGCTGTGACATCCTGACACTGCACAGCATGCCTCGACGGACCTGGGTTTTAAAATTCCATCCTTGCTCCCTTTGACCCTGAGTGCCGGAAGACCTGTCACCAATAGGAATCTCAGAAACCGCGGGGCCTGGCAGTTCCTGACCAGCTGATGACTACAGAGGAGACGGTCATTGGTGTCCTCCACCCTGGAAAGGCAGCAGTGCCCACGACAGCAACTCGAGAAGAACCAGCTATGATGTGCCATACCATTTGCATCCAGAACCCGCTTCAGTAGCAGTGCAGTAACGCATTGGCAGGATTTACAGCTACATCCATTAGGCAAGGAAAAATGAACCCAAATACAGACTTGCAACACATGGCCTGAATGGAAGAAACAGACCTTATGCAAACAGCAAAAGAAATGCAAGGAGAGGTGAAAAAGCTCACGGTAAGAGTCAAAGCTGTGCTGGCAAAGGCCCATGGGCAGGAAGAGTCTGAAGTTACTGTGAAAATGTTTCATGAGAATAAAGCAACAACTTCTAAAATGAATTAAAAAAAAAAATTCTGACATCTATCATCTACCTATCAGATCCAGGACTGCCTGGGGAAATGCTGAGTCCAGGCCTGGGGGAGGGAAGGAACCAGAGGAGATCGAGTATCTCGCTGTGCTGGAGGACAGGAATGAGCTCAAAGACAGAGACATGTCCAGCGGACACAGGAGCCAGAGGGAACAGGGTCCCACGCGTCAATGCTGGGACAACGTGGACACGCAGGTGAGAGTCGGTCACACTGCAGAGGGTGCTCTGCACCAAGAGCTCGTGGCCCGCACATCAGTGCACCCCGCGCTGTGAGGTCTGAGGACTCCGGGCTGTGTACAGACACAAAGGACTCTCGGGAGCTGTGCATGCCAGAGTCCACACGGCCTCTGCTGACACATCGGGACCTGTGCCAGCCGTGCGGCACCCAACAGCACCCAAGGGATCTCAGCCCCACCGGTGGCAGGATGCTAAGTGTCTGCTTCCTTCAGGGTCACATTCTATCGTGAGACCACATGAGACTTTCTGATTCTTCAAGGTCAAAGCCGTGTTTTGTCCAGAATGACATCTTTACAGTCACATATTTCCCAGCATTTGAACCATTAACCCATAAATATATGTCACTGGTAAACAGGATAGCACAATTTCAGACCATAAAGGGATACCACCTCACACCAACCAGGTCAGCAAAAATTTAAATGAAAAAAAAAAAAAAAGTCATTCTTAAGGAGTCAGAGGAAACAGGAAGCATCCCTACTCACCCTGGCACACTCTGGAATACCCTGACACTCTCACGTTTCTGCCAGGTAGCAGCTTTCCACTGGGGCCACTTTGTACTTCACACAAACACACACACACACACAACTTCAGTACTTATACCTCTGCGACTTCTCCACCCTATCATAGTCGGGGGAGGAGAGGAGTCACAGTCCAGTGTCAACAGTTTCACTTCAGAAAAACCTTCAGGCGACCAGCATTATGGCATAGTAGGTTAAGTGTCCACGTGTGGCACCAGCATCCATATGGGCACGAGTTCAAGTCCTGGCTGTTCCACTTCTGATCCAGCTCTCTGCCCACTGCCTGGGAAAGCAGTGGAGGATGGCCCAAACCCTTGGGCTCCTGCATCCACGTGGGAGACCTGGAAGGACCTCTTGGTTCCTGGCTTTGGACTTGCCTAGCTCTGGCCATTTTGACAACCGAAAAAGTAAGCCAGTGGATAGAAGCTATCTCTACCTATCTATCCTCCTCTCTCTGTAACACCACCTTTCACATAAAAATAAATCTCAATGAAACAAAACAAAAACTCAAAACACTTGCGGTCAGGGCAGTGGCCCAGGTGACTTAAACCATGGCTTGCAATGCCAACGTCCCACAGCAGAGTGGTAGTTCCAGTCCTGGCTGCTCAGCTTCTGAACCAGACTCCTGCTAACACGCCTAGAAAACAGACGATGACAAGTGCTTGGGTCCTGCAACCCACGCGGGGGACAGATGGACTTTCAGGCTCTTGGCTTTGGCCTGGCCTGGCTCAGCTCTGGCTGCTACAGTCACTAAGGGAGAGAACGGGTAGATGAAGTCTTCTCGTTCTGTCACTTTGACTTTCAAGTAAACACAGATTTTAAAAAAAGAGAGATTTTAAAAGAGAGAAAGAAAAGCTTATACAGGGTACTAGGAAAAGCATAAAAATAAATGCAGCAACGTTGTCATAACAGCAAAAAAAAAAAAAAAAACACAACAACTACTAAACTATAGAGACAGAAAACAAATCAGATGAAAACAGGCCCAAGGGCCCTTTATCAGGCAGTGAAAATGTTCCGAAATGAGATCATGGAGGTATCTGAATAACTCTTCAAATTCACTAAAAATCACAAATTCACTCAAAAGTGAATCTCAGGGTGCATAAATAATACTCCAACACATCTGTTTAAAAACAACTTGAGGGGAGGCACGCAGGCCAGCGGCCCCACATCAGAACACCTGCAGTGTCTCGATGACGCAGACCCAAGCTGGGGGCAGCAGCAAGGGTCCAGTGATCAAGCCCCTGACGGCCACAGAGAAAACACAGACAGAACCAGCAGATGGGGGTAATCATTAGAGCCAATAAAGAGGGCAGGGTGGAAGAGACTGGGAAAGATTCATTTCTCTTGCTGGATAGTATTCCAACATAGATCACATCGTGTTAATCCCAGATTCAAGGGATGAGTCATAACTAACATGAGTCAAAGAAAACGAGGAAAGGCACACCAAAGAAAAACACCAACCTCAATGGGATCAGCCCCTTGACAGAAAACAATAGATCAAGGCAAATACAAGCTCCACAACATGGTCACCTGATGGGCAGAGGAGACAACGGAGAGGAATGGTGGCCTCGGGCCTCCAGCAACAATTTCTTAATGTGGCGGGATGACAGCATGACTGAGGGGTGAGGAAGCCCCTCTCCACTCCCGCAGGACAGAGACCACCATCCTCAAGCCATTTTAAATTGCTAGACAGGGCACAGCACTGGTTGCACAGGAAAATATCAACATTGCCATCATACGGGTCAAAATAGGTCCGTATGGCACCCAGACCTAATGGCCAACAAGTTCCAGCAAGATTATTACCACCAACAATCTAGCTATATAAGACTCCTGGGACCTGCTCCAACCAGAAGTGGGAGAAAGGCTGTAGAAAAAACAGTTCAGTCTCATCATGGGATCACAGGAGGTGGAGACTGGTGAGCCAGGAGCTGGGGCTATGGAGACCATGGTGGAAATCTAACATAAGAACCCAGACCTAGAACTTGCTGGAGGGAGTGGCACAATTGGCTAAAAACAAAGAGCCGTGTGCCAACTGCAATAAGTAAAATTGAACTGCAGACCTGTGGGTGACACGGCTTAGAAACCTGCCCCAAGGATAAGATTCTGCTAACCAAAAGTACAATGACCAAGAGCAAAAGAAGAGACAAAGGCACATTAATGTTACTGAAGACTCCCCGGCAAAGGAGCAAAAGCCTTTGCCAACCTCAGAGACAACTGAGGAAGACAGTGAGAAAATGGAGGATAAAGAATTCAAAACACTTCTTATAAAGCTTCTTATCAACAACAAGAAGCACGTAAAGCAGGCATTCAAGGAATTTAAGGAATATGTCACACTGGAAATGAGTCAAAAGAAAGACAATATGTTAGAAATGAAGAATACAGTGTAGCAAATTAAAAGTACAGTGGAGAGTCTCCAAAATAGAATGAAGGAAGTAGAAGGAAGAATCTCAAAATTGGAAGATATTTCCTGTTATCAGGGGGAAACAAACCAAAAGCTGGAAAAAGAGCTGGATCAGGCCAAAAAAAGTATTCAAGAATTGAAAGACACTATTAAGAGGCCAAATATAAGAGTTCTGGGAGTCCCAGAAGGTGCAGAAAGAGAAGCTGAGTTTGCAAATGTATTTAATGAAATAATCAAGGAAAATTTCCCTAATCTGGAGAAAGAATTGGGAAACAAGATCCAGGAGGGATACAGAACTCCCAACAGGCTTGATCAAAAGCGATCTTCACCAAGACACATGATAATCAAGCTCTCTTCAACCCAATATAAGGAAAAGATTGTCAAGTATGCACATGAAAAAAATCAATTGACATATAAAGGAATACTAATTAAATTCACAGGAGACCTCTAACAGAAAACTAGACCGGAAGAGGATGCAGTAACATATTCCAGATTCTAAAAGAAATTGTCAGCCCAGGATAACATATCCAGCAAAGCTTTCTTTTGTCTTTGAAAGTGAAATAAAATTCTTCCACAGTCAAGAAAAGTTAAAAGAATATACCTCTTCCAAACCTGCCCTACAAAGGATACCTAAAGATATTCTCTTGACAAAGAAGAGGAATAGCACCCACCAAAACCAAAGGCAAAGGGGAAGAACATCCCAGTAAAATGACAACAGAAGACTTAATCAATGAACAACCCATTACTAAAATGACAGGACCAAATTATACCACCCACACATATTAACCCTGAATGTAAATGACTTAAGCTCAATCAAACATCATAGACTAGTAGACTGGATTAAAAAACAAAACCCATCTATTTGTTGCCTACAGGAGACACATTTCACTGACAAAGAGCAGCAGAAACTATATCTCACGCATTTTGATTTTTTTGTTGTTAGTTTCATCTCTTCAAAACACTTTTTTTCTCATTACATTCTTTAATGACTCATCATACGGTAGCATCATTTTCTTCAAGAAGGTTTTTGATTTTCTTTTTCATTTCTTCAGCAATACATTAGTCATTCAGTAGCATGTTACTTAACTTAATGGTGTTGTTAATCTCTTTTTTCTTCCTGTTGTTGATTTTGTTTTGTGGCTTTTCATTTAAGGGAATGTACAGGAACTATGAAATGGAGACTATCATATCCAGATGTGAGGATACAACACAGTACGTGTCACTACTTTCAGACTAAAGATGGATTTCCAATGAAACTGTTTACTATATGACAGTAGGATGCTGGACTCTCTGCCACTGTCCATGCCCACAATAATGGGCATATGACTGTGTATGAAGAACTATGCTTTAGGAAAAATATAGGGGAACTTGGGGAGGGGGAGAATTGGAGAGGGGATAAGGAAAATCTCAGGGGGTCTACGGAATTGTATCAAAAAATGGTAATGATGATGATAATAAAAGATAAAAAAGGATTCAAAAACATTTAAAAAAAGATGCTAGGCAGAGTTCTTATTGTTTCTTCTTGATGTCTTACCTCTGGACACAATTTTAACATACACCTCGACAGGTACGAATCATAGATTATACCAGGCAAATGGGTTTTTACGAAAAAAACAGTTGAGGCCACAGACTGTTAAGGTTGTTGATGCTGGATGGTTACATACACAGATTTCCCAGGGTTCCCGGGGGGGCTGGGAAGGGAACCCCCAGGAGCTTGCTCACACAGAGAAGGAGCATGAGCCCAGGAACTAGGTGCCTGGGGTCTGCATTCTTTTTCTTTTTTTTTTTTTAAGATTGATTTTTTCATTGGAAAGACAGATATACAGAGAGAAGGAGATACAGATTCCATCCTCTGGTTCACTCCCCAAGCGGCCACAATGGCCAGAGCTGAGCTGATCTGGAGCCAGGAGCCAGAAGTCTCCTGGGGTCTCCCACAGAGGCACACAGCCACTGGCCTTGGATCATCCTCCACTGCTTTCCCAGGCCACAAGCAGGAAGCTGGATGGGAAGTGGAGCAGCTGGAGCATGAACTGCAGCCCACATGGGATCCTAGGGCGTGCAAAGCGAGGATCCTCGCTAGGAGGCTATTATGCCGGGTCCACTTCTCCTCATGCTGTGTGACTCACAGACAGGAATCCTGTTCCATCCCTCTGTGAAGTGGCAACAACCCGGGCCAGCCCACAGGGGACTTGGGGGAGCCCACCCTGAATGCCCACCCACCCCCCAGGCCCAGCTACCTCGGCACACTGGACTTTGGCGATGTAACCATTGTTCTCCAGCTCCATCCAGTTAGCCTCATAGAGCTTAGGCCCAATCAGAAAATTCAAGTCAACGATCTTGTCATCCTCCCGGACGAGGGTTGCGGTCAAGCCCAGCTTGCAGTGTGCCTGCACGATGGTGAGCACTCGTCGGAACATCTTGGCTGGGGAGCAAGGGAGCACACGCATGGTCACTCTCAAAGCACACGTGGCCTTGTGACTTAGCTCTGGCCTCTACCTCCAGCCAAAGGCACCTGACTCTAGGTAAGAATCATAAAGCTAGCTCCCTTCCCCTCCCTTTTACTATCTGCCCAAGACAGGAGAAGTGCACAACCAGAGGCTGAGTTATGGGCAGGCATGTGGTGGCATCTGAGAATGTGGCCTGCAAAGCTGACATATCACTAACTACAAATTACTCAAGGAGCTGCTTCCCCTGAAACTTGTCTCCAGCTCCCGAGGCAGTCAGCTGGGGACATGAGTGCAAAGAGGAATCCAAGAAGCCAGCTCTGCCCAGCTCCCTACATATTTCCACAAACCAGGAAGAAAAGAGGGCCCAGACGGCCACTAAACCTAGGCTTCAACTGCTTCACCACTCCCAACCCTGTATCAATCAGATTTCCTTTGGCCAAACAACTTCCTCTCTTCCGAATGTTGTGACTCTGATTTGGCATATCAGGTAAATATGCAAGTGTGTGAGACACTCATTTCAAAGATCTATCTTGTGGTTTCCCTGGGCTGCAATACTTGGAAGTAAGTGCAAATGTCTGAGTCGGGATTACCTTTACAACGTGATTAGAGCGGGGCTAAAGACACTTCCCAAATAAACAGACACAACAGTCATCCGAGAGCAGTAATGTGACAGAATGGACAACCCAGGTCTCTGTCCACTTTCACAGCTGCGAAATGACAAACAGGAGCATGGTCTGTACACACACACCACACGCAAACATCAGTGACACACAGAAGATGAACAACCAGCATCAGGACTGACCCCAGGTAAAGAAAGGCTGCACCAGCTCCAACAATCAGCAGCTGAGGATGGCAGACCGCGCTCCGTCACAAGGACACAGCAGCCAAGGCAATGATAACACAGGTCCTGGGGAGGCCACCCCCAGGCACAGCCTAGCAATTCCATCAACCCACAGAGATGGCGAGGTGGGACCCTGCCTGCACATGGTGGCATCTAGGCTGCAAAGCAGACAGATCAACGATTCCATCTTCCTACAATCACCACAGCCACCCCAGGGAAGGTTGTGTCACACACACTCACCCTGTGCAGTGGACAGCTTGACACACACCTGTGGAAGATGGAGCCTGTCGGCACCCACAGGTGTGACTCCATCATCGGAGAGAAGTCCATCTCCTCTGAACTGACAGTCACCAAGTAAGAATACATTCTTTTGCATTGGTTTGTGTCACTTAAGTCATGGTTGTGATTCGATATTCATTAGCATAACCACTGCCCTGTCCTTCCCACCTCATCTCCAGTGCCCATCCCCGACAGGTTCTCAGTAAATCCCTGCTGAAATAAGGACAGTCGTGGAGGGCCCAGCAAGAGAAAACACTTAGCAGAGGTAAACACTTTCATCCGCATTTTTTTCTGATATGGTGGCCAACAGGGCTTCTCTGAAAAGGTCTCTCAAGTGACACAGGCACCTTCACCTGGCTCTCAGAGGGGCATCATTCTAACCCCACACGGACACGCTGAGCGGTCACTGACTCCCCAGCACGCAGCCCCTGAGCAAATGCCTGCTCCCTGGGCTGGGGAGTTGCTTGGCCTTGAGTTTACAAGACCTGGAATGTTCTGGAGTCAACCAAAGCGACAGAATGAACAGGACCAGAAAGAGACAAACACACAGATACACACACACACAAGGGCAGAAGGCCTTGGGCCCTTCCAGCTTCCGACTCTGCCGCCAATGCACCTGATCCAAACTCATGTGCAGGAAGTGATTCTCTAGGTCACTCATGTTCACACCGAGTGAACCCAATGCCAACCTTCCCCCTAACCATTTCTCCTTTTCCTTTAACTATCACACTGTTAGTATGCCAAAACCAACACAGGGAGGGGGCGGGGGCAGGGTATGAGAGCTGTGACGGTGGCACAGGTGCAGCTGTCCGAGCCCAGCCACCGGCAGGACTCGGCGGGAGCCACCTCTGAGTGCCTGATGTGCTCCCTGCACGGTCCTCCCTTCCCATCCGCTGCTAAGCAACAACTGCTGTGTACATCTTCCCTCCACCTGTCACTGCCTTTTCAAAGCAGCCACAAGCCAGGATACTTCAAGGAGTACATGAGAAAACTTCACTTTTTGTGCAAGATAACTTTGAAATGCACTCACGGTTTCCTTACAATATGCATCTTCCATGAACTTTCTGGAGTCTCTTAACACAATTCAAGAAATGTTCGCACCAAAATAAACTTCTCTTCTCCCACTTCCAAAAGCGTCCCAACATGTCCTCCTCAACAGCCCCCCACACCTAGGACCTTGCAGCAGCAGCACCCCGGTGTCCCGTGGGGCCCTCAGCATTTAAGTGCCACCTCACCACTTGGTTCCCCATATGCTCCTGCATCCCACAGGGGCCCTTGGCATGGTTTTCCACGTGCCCACTGATGGCCACTGGACCTTGCAGGTCATGGATGGGGCTGCTGCAGACACACATGGTCAGCTCTGTGTGTATCACTGCTCCAGGAGAGACTGCTAGGTGTGGCACTGGGGGCTCCTGCCAATGTCAACACAAGCTGGTTTCCAGAGTCCCTGCCACACAGCAATTCTTCCAGCGATCACCTTGTATCTGCGGCACAGCAGGTGAGTCGCCACTTGGAGGTGTGCACGCCTATAGGAGTGCCGGGGTGTGAGCCCTGGCTCAGCTTCCAGTTCAGGAGGACCTTACAGGGCAGGGGTGATGGCTCGGGCACTTGGGTCCCTGCCGCTCATGTGGGCATACGTTCCTGGTTCCCGGCTGCAGCCTGGCCCACCCTAGGGTTGTTGCAGGCAACTGAGGGGGGTAAATAGCAGATGAAAAACCTGTCTTTGTCTCTCTGCTTTTAAAATAAATAATTAAGAAAGAGCAAAAGGTTTGCTTGCAATCTTGGAGAAGGGTTTCTACCTCATATTCCTTAAGGACCAATACTTCAGTCTTCAAATGACATAGCTACCCAACTACAAGGGCTTTCTAGGGCTCCTACCTGTCACAGCACCACATAACAGCCAAAGGTACAGTGAACTGCAGCAAGAACGATGGAAGAAAGGAAGTATCGCTTGCTAAGCAGCTGGTCGTTGGCTGCTGTGGGCCATCGACCAAAGAAACCTTGACCCTACCAACCTTCAGAAAGTTCTAAAAGCTTTTTACCCAGCTAGCCACCATACCAGCCCACCCCCACTGGCGCACCTGGGATGGTGTGCACCTCATCCAGGATCATGAGGCCCCACTCCTGGGTCCGCAGCCATTCCATGACACGCTCGGCCTCCCAAGACCTTTTGGAGGTGTGGCCCAGCATGGAGTACGTGCTGATGGCAACGGAGCAGCCTATGGGCTTGTCCTTGGCGTCGGAGGTGAAGCGGCAAATCTGGCTGTCATCGATGGTGGACCACATCTTGAACTGGGCTTTCCATTGTTCCACGGACACAGCCGAGTTTCCCAGCACCAGGCAGCGCTTTCTGACAGTGCACGCAGCCGTCACACCCACCAGCGACTTCCCAGCACCTAGGACAAACCAAAGGGTGTGATCCTACCCCGGGGCCAGCCTCAAGGGACCACTGGCTGACTCCGCCAAGCCTACTGTGAGGCACTCAGGACCCCGGCCTCAGCCCCTTCTACAAACGAGAGACACGCCCACCTCACACATGTGAGGATCTTGGGGAGCCAGGGCCTCTGGTGGCTTTCACATGCTTCTTGTTTAAATGTTGAAATCTCAAAACAAACCAGGGAGGGGACCGACGCCTGGTATCCCCATTTTAATGCCTTGCCTGTCACCCCAAGATAGTGGTGCTGCTGGGCAAAGGTGCCTAGCACACAATCTGCCAAGGAAGGAGCCAGTAAGAAACACCTGGTATCATCACAGAGTGGGTAGGGCCAAGAACTTGGGAGTACTAAGTGTACATGGTACTAACAAAGACTAAGAACAGTACCAAGTGTGCACAGGATTACCGCAGACAGAGGAGAAATCACAGCAGCTTCTGAGCATAAGACCACAAAGCATCTGAAGACCAAGACAGAAAGTAGTCTGCTCCTCTCAACAGTCACCCTTCCTTCACTGTCAAAGTAATACAAGGAGGGGCCAGTGCAGTTGCTCAACTGGCTAAGTCCCCATCCTGGGGTGCTGCCATCCCATACGGGTATGCCTATTCTTGTCCTGGCTGCTCCACTTCCCAATCCAGCTCCCTGCATGTGGGCTGGGAAAATAGTGCAGGATGGCCCAAAGCCTTGGGATCGTGCACCATCATGGGAAACCTGGAATAGGTTCCTGGCTCCTGGCTTCTGAACAGCCCAGCCCTGGCAGTTGCGGCCATTTGGGGAGTGAACAGGTAGATGCAAGACCTTCTTTCTCTTGTTCTCCTTCTCTCTATAAATCTGTCTTTCCAATAAAAATAATTAAACTTTTAAAAAATGAGTTCTCTTTTAAAACAACAACAATAACAAAAAAATCCAAAGAACTTTACTAAAAAAGCATCCTGGAAGTGAACCTGTGGTGCAGCATGTTAGGCTGCCATTTGCAATGTCCACATCCCACATCTGGGTGCGTGGGATCACGTCTCACCTCTGCTTCCAATCCAGCTTCCTGTTAAGCAGCAGCCTGGGAAGCAGATGACAGCCCAAATACTTGGATCCCTGCCACACATGGAGAAGACCTAGACAGAGTCCCTGACGTGTGGCTTCAGCCTGGCCCAGCTCCAGCTGGCAAGGGCACTTGAGTAACCAGCTGATAGAGGATCTCCCTACATCTTCCTCTGTGTGTTCCGCTCTGCCTTTAAAGTAAACAGACTTAAGAAAAATAATGGGGGCTTGGTGCAGCAGCCTAGTGGCTAAAGTCCCTGCCTTACATGCGCCAGGATGCCATATGGACACTGGTTTATATCCCAGCTGGTCCATTTCCCTTCCAGCTCCCTGCTAGTGGCCTGGCAGAGCAGTCAAGGACAGCCCAAAGCCTTGGGACCCTGCACCTGCGTGGGACACCCAAAGGAGCCTCCTGGCTCCTGGCTTTGGATCGGCTCAGCTCTGCCTATTGCAGCCATGTAGGGAGTAAGCCAGCAGATGGAGGATCTTTCAGTCTCTCCTTCTCTCTGTATATCTTCCAATAAACATACATAAATCTTTAAAATATATATATGGGAGGCAGAAAGGCCCCTTCCCTGGAAACTATGCCTCCACTGAGTCCAAAGGAGAGCCCCTAGGGGGAGTCTGTGCAGCCTCTGGCCAGGATGACAGGACTGGTTGAGAAACCCTGACATAAAAATCTAAAATCCACAGCGCTCCAAAATATGGTCCTTCCGTGCACGGACAACAAACCCCACACAGTGACCTCACGCGAGCGTCCCACTGAAAGCACAGGTGCAGGACAAGGCCGCATAGATTACTGTCAGGCTGTGCGTCAAGGTCATTATGAGACACACAGGAATTTCACGTTTAGACTTGTGTCCCAGGTCCAAGACACCTCACTACGTACGTACAGAATGACCTGAGAGCCAAAGCACTCCTGAAGAACGGACACTCAACCCCAGTGACAAGAGAGCTCAGACGGGTGCCAAGCGAGCTGCCAGTGCCTTTCCTTGGCACTGAATGCTGCCAGAAACTGTCCAGGAAGAAGCCTCCCAGTGCATACTTCATAAGACTCCTCGCCCTAGCAGGCACAATGAGGTCAGGACCACCCACCCAGCAGACCCTGCGGTCAGGGAGGCGGCCAGCGGACCCAGAGAGGACACGCTGGCCAGCCCAGCCCCTTACCACACGGAAGAACGATGACCCCGGAGCGTGCCCGCCCGTTCCCAAACATCTTCCGCAAGCTCTTCTCCTGATAGGGTCTGAGCACGGCCGTGGGTTTCAGGTCGATGTTGATATCGGGGTTGACCGAGTCATTCCGGAAGTCGTACTCCGCCAGCAGCGGGTACTCCAGGTGGATGCAGCGCTTCTGCAGCTCTTCAATCATCTCCTGGAAGGTGGTTTCATCAAAGCTCGTCAGCTGACAGGATGGGCTCGCAACACCACACATGCTAAGGGGCCCAATGCTGAAACTCCGCATCTTGTTCAGCCTCGTACAATTTCAGATTGTAAAGCACAGAAAAGCCACCCCAACTAAACTGGCAAAATTAAACCCAACTGGCCGGCCAACCTGAGCGTCAGGCGCTATCCCTCCCATCTCTTTGGGGAGGGTGCAGTCCCAGGCCCCGAGCCCAACAAGGGGCTGCCTGGGCTCTCCTACCATCAGGAGGGTAGATGCTGGGGCCCCCAGACACCAGACAGCAGCTCACAGAGCCCACAGCTGGAGCCCACACAGGGCTGGGCCTCAGGGCCAGCGAGACACTCACCTGCTTGACTTCAAAGGACACTGTCTGTGTCTCCTCCTCTTCCTCCTCATCCTTGTCCATTTGCTCATAGAAGTCAAACAGGTCTGTGGGGATGTCCGATTTACCCTGTGCGTCGCCCACCCGGGAAGTGGAGGGCCCGCCGCCACCTTCAACAGCCTTCGAGATCTGGGAGACAGAGGCACATCATCTTTAACCCTGTGGCAAGGGTTGAAGCTGTGGGCAGGGGGCAAAAGGTAGGGCTGCTGGGCAACAGGGGCCAGACTGCAGTCAACCAGGATCTGTGATGACAAGTGCCCAGCCCCTCGGGGCAGCCAGGAGCCCACATACAGCGGACTTGCTGGTAAATGTCTCCGTGATGAGCTCGGCAGCCTCCCCCTCGGCATTCCGCAGGCGGCACTCCCGGATCACCGGGTCCTGAAGGAGATGCTGGATGACATCGGGGTGGGAGCTCTCAACAAAGTACCTGCAGGCAGGCGAGCAAGAAAGCGTCCACGGACCACCCCCACCTCCAGAAGATTCCACCACTGCCCTCCCCAGATGGGCTAGAACTAGTAGCTTCCTCATTCTTTACTTGGCCCATTTTCTGCCTCCCCACGACCCTCTGCCCAACCTGAGCTCAGAGCAGCTGCCCTATGGGACAGGGTGTACAGTGCTAAAGGCAGGGCCAGCCTGGGGAGTCCAACAGGAAGGGGACTGGCTCGGCACTGCTGCTGCAGTGGCCAACATGGTGACCACTGAATAAATTCTGCGAGACACTGGCAGAGAAGAGGTCAGCTCCTTCCCATAGCCCCTCACCCTGTATTGCAGTGAGAGGCCCCGGGGAGGGCAGCCTCCAGTCTCTTACCTGTTGTGCTTCAGGACCAGCTTGACCTTCCCGTAGCTAACAGTGCACAGCTGCATGAAGATACAACAGCAGTCGAATTAACAACAAGCAGCTCACCCAGATCATGCTCACCCCTAGTTGCTTCTGACCTCCAAAACCGGGGTGCAATCAATCCCAACACAGCTAGCTAGGGCTGTCTGCACCGAGCTTTTCCCACGAGCCCCTGCTTCCGGAGAGCACACTGCTCTTCTCACTGCCCTCTGACACACACTCTCTTTCCCCATCCCCCCCACGCCCACAGTGGTCATTACCGTGGCCCCCTGATCAGAGCCCGCACATAGCAGATGCACAGGAGCTGTTTGCCGCAAACGTAAAATTCAAAGTAAGGATCTTGGTGGCAGAGAAAACAGGCCAGCTCTAGGAAGGCAGCTGTAGAGCTGGCATGGTGGCCATGAAAATCTCAACACTACCCAAACCCTTGGCTGTTGTCCTACCCCACCCCCATCCCACCGTACACCAACACCTGTGCCCCAATAGCAACTACCAATCAAGAGTGAAGCCCGGGCCCAACACAGTAGCCTAGAGGCTAAAGTCCTCGCCTTGAACGTGCCAGAATCCCAAATGGACACTGGTTCTAATCCCGGCGGCTTTGCTTCTCATCCAGCTCCCTGCTTGTGGCCTGGGAAAGCAGTCGAGGACAGCCCAAAGCCTTGGGACCTGTACCTGCCTGGGAGACCCAGAGGAGGTTTCTGGCTGCTGGGTTCAGATTGGCTCAGCTCTGGCCACTGAGGTCACTTGGGGAGTGAATCAGCAGCTGGAAGATCTTCCTCTCTGTCTCTCCTCCTCTCTGTATATCCACCTTTCCAATAAAAATAAAAATAAATCTTAAAAAAAAAATTTTTTTAAATAAAATTTAAATAAATAAAAAAAGAGTAGAGGCCCACCATGACACTAAAGCAGGCTCAATCCAGTGAAGCAAGAGTCCCTCTTCCTGGTCCCCGCTTGCGTGGCTACTCTGGGCTTGGAGGCAGTGGCAAACTGTGACTCAAACCCCCTTCAGATCAGCCCAAAGCAACACAACCCACCAGCCACATCCTCAGGACGGCACATGCCTCGACAACTGCCGCCTGCCATTCCCACTTCAACATGTGAAGGTCCTCTTGACTCTCCCCGGTGGAACACATTCAGCCTTGGTCTCAACGCAAGCCATCTAGCCTTGAAGAGAGTTCAGCACCTGCCTGGGGCAACTATGGCTGACAAAACCAGAAGCCACAGCCCGGGTGGCCGCAGCCACTACTCTGACGCTCTCAGAATTCTGACGGATGGACGCCTATGACGGAGGGAAGCAGGTGAAGCGGTTCCTGGTTGCCTTGCTCCCTGTCGGCAGCTGCCTCCTCACTGACAGCACTTGTGACATGACTGAGCAGGGCAGCTCTCTCAGCGTCTCTGCTAGTACAGCCTGAATCGTGACCCACCCTGCAGGTCCCCAGGGCTAGGGCCAGACAGTGGGAGAACCGCGGCGAGCACAACTGCCGATCTGACGGGCTGCCAGGGGCGCCGACCCCCACTACGGCCACCATCAGCGACCCCGACTTGCCTTAATAAACTGAATAATCCCATCGGGGACTCCGGTCTTGCTGAGCTTGCGCAGGTACTCGGTGATATCGCTGGTCTGCAGCCCGACGCTGACGGCGGCATACAGGGAGTAGGCCGTGAGTTTGTACTCATGCACGTGGGTGGGCCGGCACACTGGCTCTGCAATGGCCACTAGGAAGTCCTGCGCGTATTTGTACACCGGTGAGAAGGCTTCCAGGAAGATGTGGCCATCGGGAGCCTGAGAAACAGCGGCAGACAGGACACGTGTGAGTTGCGGGAGCCGCTGGACTTGAGCCCACAGAGTTAAAGGCTGACAGCTGTGGGGCCGGGGGGGAGGGGGCTCTGGGCAGATACACAGCAATGGAGCGAAGCAGATTGCCACAGTCAGCAGCTGCCTCCCACAATGAAGATTCTGCCCAAGGAATGACCCTGTCGCTGTCGAGCTTCGGAGATCCTCTATGAGATTTCAACTCAAGGCAGAACACTGACTACTGTTGCGGTGGCGAGATAGCACAACTGGCCAATCCTCTGCCTGCAGGTGCTGGAATCCCAGATGGGCACCAGTTTACATCCTAGCTGTTCCACTTCCCTTCCACCTCCCTGCTTGTGGCCTGGGAAAGCAGTCGAGGACGGCCCAAACAAAGCCTTGGGACCCTGCACCCACATGGGAGACCTGGAAGAAGCTGCTGGCTCCTGGCTTCGGACTGGCTCAGGTCCAGCCGTTGTGGCCATTTGGGGAGGTTTTTTCTGTCTCCTTCTCCCTGTCAATCTGCCTTTTCAGCAAAAATATGTAAACCTTAAAAAAAAAAAAAAAAAAGATGCAAGCAAGCTACAAGAAACACTTGCCCTAGATTAAAAAAAAAAAAAAATCTGACTATTTTCACTTGGCACACAAGCTGGCTGCTAAGCAAGTGTTTCCCCTCATCTGAAAGAAGGTGCACAGACTGCTAAATAGCAGACACTGTCTGTCCTGCGGCTGCCTGCACATCCTAGCACCGGGTGTCCGGCCAGGGGGGAAGCCCGGGTGGGTGCGCGGGGCTGCATGCTGTCCTTCCACTCCGGACCGCTGTCCCAGGCCCGCTTACCACCCACAGGGGCCGGGAAGCGTGGTCGTCCTTGAGCGGCATCTGCAGCCGGTAGTCCTTGGCCCCATACTCGTCCACTTTGGTGCCCGACTCGTCCACCTGCTTGCCGGCCGCGGAGGGCACCGCCTCCTGAGGGTCGTTTCCAGGGCCGTCATCTTCCTCCTCCTCTTCCTCCTCATAGTGCCGCTTCTTGGATTTCTTCCTGTCTGCGGATGCACACGGGGGGGGGGTGAGCACGGCAAGGCGCCCGGCCCGCGTCCCCCCGCCCCGAGGGCCAGCCCAGCGCCCCCAGCCCTGCCCAGCGGGTTCGCGGAGACGTCCCCGTCAGCTGGCACACGGGCGGGCGACGCCGCCCCCCGTCTCACCGCGGTCTCCGCGGTCCTTCTTGCCCATGGCAACGCGGGAAACGAACCCGGGGATCAGCCGAGCCCTCCGCCGACCACGGAGGACCGTGCTTCCGGCTCTCGCCGGAGGTTCCTCCCCAGTGCGCACGGGAAGTCCCGCCCCCGGGCGCCGCGCAGGCGCCTTCCGCCCTGCCGTGGGAAATGGCTGCCGCTCCGAGCCCGAGTGGCTGCGGCTGCTGGGGCTGCGCTGGGTGGACGCTGGGTGCAAAACCCAAAGCAGACAGCGTCGCCCCAGCCCAGCCCTTACTGAGATGGAGACAGAGGAGGTGGGGCCCGGCCACGGTCGGAACAGCCCTTACGGCGGGGCTGGGCAGGTGACGGCAACAACCCCGGAGTCTGAGATGGGAAACCGCTGGAAAGTTCTAAGCAGAAGCACGAGCCCCAGTCAGTGTGGAGGTTCGCCTTGTGGCCGGGCCACCGTGCTGACTGCAGCCTTCACGCGGCCCTGGGAGGAGATGCCGCCGCTCCCCAGGGAGGGAGAGCAGCAGGAGCCGCCCAGTGCCTCCATTCTGCATATAGTTCAAAGAAGGCGTGATGGGGATTTGCTTGCTAACTTCTAAAACATATCGTATTTGGTTGAAAAGCCTAGAGTTAGATCGTGCCTCCGCTGTTTTACTCTGCAGATGGCTGCAAGTCCAGTCTGATCTCAAGAACTCGGTCTGCCACGTAGGTTGCAGGAGCCGAAGTTGCCGGGCCATGTTCTGCTGCGTTCTCAGATCCCTGAACAGGGAGCAGGGTGGGAATTGAAGCAGCGCTCGCACTGCAGGTGGCTGTTGGCTCAGCCCTGTTTACTGACAGAGTGTGACAGGGTTAAAGGATAACCCCAGGCTTTTTAGAGCTGAAGGTACGGGGTGTTGAGTGGAGGTATTGATCGGCTCAGCCGGCCACGCCCCAAAACATCACAACCTGCATTGACAGCTAAGTGCCTCACATGGAGGGGGCCCTGTGTTTCATGCACCTGGGCAAGGACCACTTGTGGCTTGCCAACCGTTGCCTTCTTGCTGCAGCCTTTCATGGCAGAGAATGGGGGTTACTGCGTCTCTTCCCACCCTCGTGACCAGTGTTATTCTTGGTTACTCTCTGGCACTCCCAGTCTTCAAATACCCCCAGAGCCTGCGGGAAAATCTCACCTCGCTTCCAACCCAGCTTCATGTTGGAGGTAGCAGTTGGTGGCTCGAGTACTTGGTTTCGGCCACCCACTTGGGAGACCCAGATGGACCCAGAAGCTCCTGGCTTCCACCTGGCCCAGCCACAGCTGTTGTGGGATCTGAAAAACAATCTCTTTCAAATAAAAGTGGACACTAAGGAAATTAGGGGAGGATGCAGTTCAATTCATAGCAGCGCGCTCTTCGGACAGTTGAGTGTCAGGTGTGGTTTTAGTTCAGGAACCCAAAAGTGTACACTCGAGAATCGTCAACATCTGCAGTCCTGGAGTTACAGAACTATCTGAGATGATCCAGGGAATGGATCTAGGCAGAGAAAGGGGCCACGGGGCAGAAGCTAGAAGACACAGAACTGGGCAGCAGCGGCTGAGGAACCGTCTGTGAGACTGGAACCTACAGTCCTGGAAGCCCTGATTTCCCAGCACGTCTGGGTGGAGAATGTGGTCCAGCTGTCCGAGGCTGCTTGTCAGGGAAGCACATCAGAGACTGACTTAGCCCCAAGAGGGATGCCACTGAAAATTGCGGGAAAACGTGCGGCTGTTGTTCTTACACTGCTCACTCTTCACTAAGCGGGTAACAAGCATTTATATTCCATGATATGGCAAGATCACACCTGCCTGAGCCAAACCCCAATATGGGGGACATTGGATAGTTCCAGTGCATCCAGTTTTAAGTAGTTCCATGATGAATATCACTCAGCGGCATCCTGGATTATTTTAAGGCAAATTCTGAGAAGCAAAAACACCAGGTTAAGTGCAGGTGCTTTTTAAGCTCTTGTTGCCGAACCTGATTAACTTGACTAGCAGGAGTGATGAAGAAGAACGATAATTTAACATTTTTGCCATTAAGATTTTGGACTAAGTAAAAGCGCCCACAAATCACAAGTTCAGAAATTACAAATAGGGCCCAGCGCCGTGGCCTAGTGGCTAAAGTCCTTGCCTTAATTGCGCCAGGATCCCATATGGGCACATGTTCTAACCCCGGCAGCTCCACTTTCCATCCAGCTCCCTGCTTGTGGCCTGGGAAAGCAGTCGAGGACAGCCCAAAGCCTTGGGACCCTGTACGCACATGGAAGACCTGGAGGAAGTTCCTGGCTCCTGGCTTCGGATCAGCACAGCTTCGGCTGTTGCGGTCACTTGGGGAGTGAATCATCAGTGAATCATCAGACACAAGATCTTTCTCTCTGTCTCTCCTCCTTTCTGTACATCTGACTTTGTAATAAAATAAATAAATCTTTGGGAAAAAAAACACAAAAATTACAAATAAGCAAAAATAGTATCTATTCATCACAATCACAGGAGTAATATACATTTTTGCAGTAGTTTTTCCAAGTATTCTTTTTTTTTAAGATTTATTTATTTATTGGAAAGTCAGATATACAGAGAGGAGGAGAGACAGAGAGGAAGATCTTCCATCCGATGATTCACTCCCCAAGTGAGCACAACGGCCGATGCTATGCTGGTCCGAAGCCAGGAACCAGGAACTTCTTCTGGGTTTCCCACGTGGGTGCAGGGTCCCAAGGCATTGTGCCGTCCTCGACTGCTTTCCCAGGCCACAAGCAGGGAGCAAGATGGGAAGTGGAGTTGCTGGGATTAGAACCTGCACCCATATGGTATCCCAGGGTGTTCAAGGCGAGGACTTTAGCCGCTAGGCCACGCTGCTGGGCCCTAGTTGATGAATCTTGGTGGTGATTAATTCTATGTTTGAACTAGCCTAGGCTAGTTGGTCACACATTAGTTTATATGTTGCTGTTGAAGGTGGTTTTTAGATGTGTTCAAAAGTTATAATTAGTTGTCTCTTATTGTAGCTTATTTGAAAAGCAGAGTGATAGATCTTCAGTCAGCTGGTTCACTCCCCAAATGGCTGAAACAGGCCATCCAGAAGCAACATCCAGGTCTACAAGGGCAGCCTACGGAGGGCTGGATCGGAAGCAGAGCAGTCTGAACCAAACCAGTGCTCACAAGGGATGTTGGTATCACAGGTCAGCTGGTGGTTTAACCTGCTGTGTTACAATGTTGGCCCTAATCAGTTGATTCCTAAATAAAGACAACCCACAAGCTTCATCCAATTATGCCAGCTTGATTTCCCAAGGAAAAGGGGATTCTGCCTTCAGATTGCAACAACATACAACTTCTTTGTACAATTTCCACACAGGAATTGAGTTTCTGACCTTTGAACTCCAGACTGACATCAATTGTGACCTGAATTGTTCGCCTCCACAACCATGTGAGCCAGTTGCTTAGATGACTTACTCTCCCTGACACCATGGTTCAGTGGAAGCAGCATCTCCTTTCGGTCCTGTTTCCCTGGAGAACCCTGATGCAGGTTTTGGTGAAAGCAAAGCAGGTGCTGCTGTTAAAAACACCCGGCTGTGGACATGGGTTGAGGTGCTTACGATGGGAAACGCCGGAAGAGTCTGTTAGTAGAAATTGGGACATAAAAGTCGATTCCACTGAGGACTCGGATGAAAAGGAGAACTATGTTCTTGCAAACTGAGGAAAGGAAATCCTTGTTATAAAGCAGTAGAGAACTGTTGCTGTTGAGTAGGAGAGGATACTTGCAGGCCCCAAATTTAGATATTTCCTTGGTTTCCATGCAAAGCTTGAAAGTGTGGCTTGGTCTCTTCACTGCCTAAGGAACAATCATTAGAAGTAATCTGATATGTAAGATCTGGACAGTTCTTAGTCTACCAATATTGTAAAAATTTAGAAAGTGTAGGATGGCTGGACAACCATTTGCAAGAGAGTGTGGGGCCCGGCGTGGTGGCGCAGTGGTTAAGGTCTTCGCCTTGCACGCCCGGGATCCCATATGGGCGCCGGTTCTATCCCAGCAGCCCCGCTTCCCTTCCAGCTCCCTGCCTGTGGCCCGGGAAAGCAGTCGAGGTCGGCCCAAAGCTTTGGGACCCTGCACCCGCGTGGGAGACCCGGAAGAGGCTCCTGGCTTCGGATCGGCATAGCATTGGCCGTTGCGCTCACTTGGGGAGTGAATCATCGGACGGAAGATCTTCCTCTCTGTCTCTCCTCTCTGTATATCCGCCTTTCCAATAAAAAAAATAATAATAAAAATAAATCTTTAAAAAAAATCTTAAATAAAAAAAAAAGAGAGAGAGTGTGGTTGATCAGAGCGAGTATCTGATCAACCTCAGAAGTCCGCACTGCAGGGTGTGAAGATGGGAGGTGATGAAGGCAGGCAGGAAGGGGCGAGAGAGAACAAGTTGTGAACACCTTTTATTCTTCAAGAAAGGAGGGGAAAAACTGAAGTCGCCTCAAAAGCTGGAGGGACAGACCTGGGCTATGGACATACTTCCTCTTGAAGCCGCTTTGTTCTTTTTAAGATTTATATTTTTTTGATTGGAAAGTCAGATATGCAGAGAGCAGGAGAGATGGAAAGGTCCGTCCGCTGATTCACTGCCCAAGTGGCTACAACGGCCAGAGCTGAGCCAATCGGAAGCCAGGAGCTTCTTCTGGGTCTCCCACATGGGTGCAGAGTCCCAAGGTTTTGGACCGTACCCCACTGCTTTCTCAGGCTACAAGCAGGAAATAACAGGGATGGGAAGTGGGGCCGCTGGGATTAGAACTGGCACCCATATGGGATCTCAGCACGTGTTAAGACGAGGACTTTAGCTGCTAGGCTACCATGCCAGGCCCAGGTGGTGTGTATGTGTATAATTATTTTGAAAGGCTGATTTACAGACAGCAGAGACAGAGAAGTCTTCCATCCATTGATTCACTCCCCAAATGGCTGCAATGGCCAGAGCTGTGCTGATCCAAAGCCAGGAGCCAGGAGTTTCCTCTGGGTCTCCCAAGTGGATTCAGCTGCCCAAGGATTTGAGCCATCCCCTATTGCCTTCCCAGACAATAAGCAGGAAATGCGATCAGAAGTGGAGCAGTCGGGTCCAGT